CAAGCACCATATCAACAGGAGGGTCCAGACTAGCAGGGAATGGGCATGGCCTGAAACTGCTGCCCCCAACATGTCCTCAACAGCGCCAGCCTATTCTCTACCAAGTGGCATCGCTTGCCAGCTACCACTATTGGTGTAGAACAAGCTGGCGCCGCTCCTAACCCAGCCACTCCGAAACGTCCCAGCGTCCACAGCAAGCAGTGTTTTAATCAAATTTTGAAGCAATCAATAAGTGATTTTCAGACTACGATTCCGCTTTGATGACTGTTATCAATGGCAGTACAGCGGAACATTTGGATATGATCGGTAGCGAGGTGATCCAGCGTCTGCTCGCCGACAAATGGAAAGCATTTGCAATGGTATGTCTTGTCACGTACACACGGGTGGCGTCATTTCTCATTGTTAATCCGTAATTACGGACGACGAGATTAAGAAGGAAAGCGCAGCGAATCACTCTCTATGAAGTGGCATTCAAGGGGAAACTGCACTCGTGCGAAGAAAAAAGTGGACTGCTCAATACTTATCAATCCTTTTGGATACGCCACGCATTCGGCTTCTACTCGCAATAGTCGCGCTCAACGTAAGCAATGAGTTATCGGCACCAGCTTGCATTCACTTTAGTCTTACATCTCTTGGACGAGTCCAGGGCTCAGTTCGGCTCGGTGGGGGGGGGCATCAAATGATACCCAGCAAAGCCTGTACAGACCCTTTGTGAAGTTCTTTGACTTTTGTAACCAAAGGAGCTCATTTTTACTTCCGCAGCTTCACAACAGTTTACAGGTTTTACCAAAATAACACATTTTACTTAACATGAACTAGCAAAAGATCTATTGATAGTACAGAATGCGCCTCCCAATCCGAGCAGCGCCCAAATCCAGCATCAGTTCAAAAGGATTTGATTCTTTGGCCGGTCTTTGTTCCATAAGTACGTTACTGACCACTGACCTATCGTGTCCCGCATAGATGAGGTAATTCAGGTTAGGCAATGGTCTTATTTGGGGGTAATCAGTTACAAGCTTAATGCAAAGTCACAGAAGCATAAAACTGTCAACAATATCTTTCTGATAAGCATAAGGTTAGAATCCAGAGAAACGGGGTGTATTCTGTGTCTCTGCAGGTGTGTAGCTTGTTACCGATCCTCTACGATGTTCTATTAGGTTGTCCGGAAAGTTCTTAGCGTTTTGGGTGTTTAACTTTAAACGATCATAACTTTCTTAACACTCATCGGATTTAATCCAAATAAGCACCATTCGAATCAGCACACTTTTGCCAATGTGGCAGCAGTCGAGAAATCCCATCAAAGAAAAAACTGGGTGGTCGAGAATCCACGAAATCTGCGAAGGTCTTTTTTGCCTGGTCCTGTTTGATGAAGTATTTCTCAGCAGGAAAGTTCTGAAAATGTCTGAAAAGGTGACAGTCGGTTGGTGAAAGGGTCTAGAGAATATGGTGGGTGAGGTAGAACTTCAACTCCCAATTCGTTCAATTTATGGATAGTGATTTGTGAAACGTGTGTGGCGCGGGCGTTGTCATGCAAAAGAATCGGACCTTTATTTTGATAATTTTGTTTGGGCTAGCAGCTGACAATATTTTCGGTAACATTAGGTCGGTATTTGTTTCACAGTTATAGGGTTCTGCTGTGATGGTTTGGCCTGGTGATGAAAAGTTATAGTGGATTACAACAGCCGATGACCACCAAACCTGACCAGAATTTTTTTTTTTCGCGAGGGTTCGGCTTTGAAAATTACCTCGGTGGTTCCTCCAAATCCAACCACTGTCCGGAAGCGTCTCCTGTTATCATACATGATCCATTTTTCATCACAGGTGACAAATCCGTTCAAAAACGGGTCAATTCTTTTGCGCAAAAGCAGTGAAGAAGGAACCTCGAGACGTGCCGATTCCTGCCGGTTCAACTCCGATTTTGGGGCACCCAATTGTCGAGTTTTTTCACCTTCCCAATGCGTTCCAGACCATCTGCAACAGTGGATTTGCCAAGCCTAGCTCTTCTGCTATCTCTCGAACTGTTTGGGATGGGTCAACCTTCAAAATCCCCCTAAAATCCTCGTCAGATATTGCTTTAGGTCGACCGCTATGAGGCTCACCTTCAAGGCTGAAATTTCCAGAACGACATTTGTTGAGCCATTGCGGCAGTGCTTTCTCTAGCACTATTGGGCCTCCACACCTGGTTAATTTGTTGAGCTGTTTCGATTGCGGATTGCCCCAATTTATAGTCGAAAAAAATCGTCCGAAGTGCTCTTTTCACATGCTTGAAAAAATTTGAAAAAAAGGGGTTTATCAAGCAATGGTGAACGGCAATTATCCATTCAGATTATGCGCAAGAAATTCTCTACAGGATGTGCTATGAGAAGCAAGGCAGAATGAGTTTTTAATCAGCAGTGAATGTACAAAGATTAGGTGCACAAAACGCTAAGAACTTTCCGGACAACCTATAGCGTATATCTATTGGGCGTATCCCGAGACTTACTACTACGCTTCCTCCACCTCACGTAACTCACTAGATCCTTATTTTCAGCGGAAACTAATCGAACGTCTGGCGTTACTGGTTGTTCAACTAGTTACCTTATCCATCGTCGTATACGTGCGACCAACGGAAGTCGATCGCCTCTACATGATCCAGCCCCTGAATGGGAATGGACTGAGGCTAAGCTCCACGTACTGCTCAACTACGATGGCGCCAAATCTTACCTGTGGTCGAAGCGAAATTGTTGACACGAAAGGAATTCGCTTGAAAAGCTGTTTTTGCTCTTTTTGCGACGCGGAGTAGTTCATATTTTTGACCATTCATTTTTATCGAGGGTTGACTCAGGACAATTCCTTTGGAGCAGGCATACATTTTCATTTTTCATTTTTTATGCAATTTTGAAAGCATTTCCACGCGGCTTAATGGGTTACTAACGGGTATTTATTTGAATGCACAGTCCGAATGGTAACCCTTCGCAATAACGTTGCTGCCATCACACGAAACTCTTTCATTGGAAACATTGGTTCTTTCTATTAAAAAAGAGGCCGTTCAATGGACTTATTGGTCAAAACTGGAATATCCGAGTAGAATAGCCCTACTTGAAGTTGGTTCATCTACCCGAGCTTCTCTCTTTTGAGCTCAGGCGAAAGTCCATACCTCTATTTAGACTAATCTAGTTTTGCACAAGAGGTCCTTTGAATGCCCCCTCCAAGTTTATTAGCTCAACAAAACAGCTCATTTTCAGATTCGTACTGTATGCGAATTCTTAACGATTTTGAACTGTATATTTTTTGTGTTCTTTCAACAATTGGGAGAGATTCGTACTCAAGGAATAGCCGGGTATTTCAGGAACTTGGTACGTTTTCTCTGGTACTTGTTGTCGATAGCTCGTACAAATCCATCGATAGCACGTTTTTATTGATTGGTTGCCTTCTTTTCAGAAAACGGTTCCAGCAAAAGCGGTGTTTTGTGTGGCTAACATATTTATACTATTGTGTATACCATTTCGTATTCTTCGACTTCATGAATTAGAAGAGGCTCTTTTCGTGTTCGCCTTGCCCGGTTCATGGATATTTCTACTCTTTTTTGCAAGGTTAATTTTGCAATTTTTTACTTACTTGAACTCAGAGGAACGCTTTATTAAACAATAATGTTTTTTCGTGAACATACTGTAATTTTCCACTCAGGAACAATCTCCATTTTAGAAGTGCCAAACTCACCGGACCTTTCGTGCAAATGATCTACAGTATGATTGCTGGTGACATGATGCGATTCGCAATTATTTCAGCCATCTTCCTCGTATCCTTCTCACAAGGTTTGTCCCTTATTGGAAATACAGGTTTTCAGGCCAATGGGTATGCCTTGGGCACGATTGCTGGAGGCGGGCGGATAGAGAGAGCGTTATTGGTGGAAGGGCGTTGGCCACACACCCCGCAAAGCGTTCGACGGTTTGGCGAACGCCCTCCAACAACCCTTCCACCAATGATGCTAGCGACAATCGCACGTCTCCAGCTGTCATGCTCACTGCCTTTAATTCTCTGTCGTGAGGGGTATCTAACTAGGAGATCCGTGTTGCGGCGACGTGCGGCGTAATGATCGTCTGTATTGCATTTCATGTGGTGACGAAGTCGCGTGACGCAGCAACGCTTCCGCATTGTCGCCGCTACTCGAATGTCATGACCTGCAGCCGGCGAATTCTGAAATGTCTCATCATAATTAATAGTCGCTCGCTTGGACCGCAAGCGCACTGAAATGGATGTGGAAAGTGTTTCCTGTTACGCAAAAATCGGTCCAATCCCGTCGCTCAATCTTCACGCGCCGAAATGGAGAGGGCGTGTTCGGTGTTTTTTTAGGACATGGTGTGATGGTGTTTTTCTGTGTGATTCTATCCATTTGAAACGACTTTCAGCATGTCTTATGTGGGCAATATCATGACTACAGTTGTCCCAAAGCATAAAAATCCTACTGAAAGCGCAGCGCACATTCAAAAGCAGTGCGTTAACGCGCACATTTGCGTGATATGGAGTTTTCCCATCGAGCTGTAGTCTTCTTTGAAGAGGATTTAGGCCTTCTATGCTAACTTATCTATATGGGAGCTTCCTTTTTCATGAGGATTTTATTGTGGTGGTACGTCGAAAACCGTTGCCGAGCGGATGGCCGTGACATCAAGGCGTCCCATGCGACTCGTTCCGTCCTGCGGCTTATTCACTTCAGTTTGCGATATACGAATCAGTCGTTTTAGCGCGGCTCCGCACCGGTAGTTGTGTATAGCGGATAGGTAGAGCTCGGCAACGTGACATTACCGACGCAACTAACCACTAGCCGGTATTACTTCTACCACCATCTCCAATTGCCGAAGTAGAGTGAAAAAAGGCGTTGTAAATGTCTCAAACCCAGCCGGCTGGATTATCGCGGCTGGCAGTCGAAACCAAGATCTAACTCGCCGACTTGCGAATGTAGAACAAGCGGAAAGCAGCGCTAGCAAAACGGGTATTGAGCTACTCCCCTGGACAAGGACCCCCATTAATTAGAGATTTGCAACTTCTTGGCTTCGAACCAGTTAGGCCTTTCCCGTTTCCATCACGCTACTGAATTTCAATGCCGCTTTCTCTACACGGGTGGGGTCTCCTGGCTCGCTTCAGGGGAAAACGGCCCGGAGGAAATGGGAGGAAAAAGGCCTACACCTATAGGTTTGCGAGTTTTTTAGTAGAAGCCCTTTGAAGCGAGAAATATGAAACTGAAAATAATAGGTCCGCTACCGTAATAAAGCTAAAATTACGGTAATATTTCAGTGTTCTACTTTGTGGGTAAGGACATGGACGCCAAGCAACAACTGAACAACTCAAATCCATATCATTGTCCGGTCGATGGTTACGATGTCTATACATATGACAATTTCATCGAGACATTCATCACTTTGTTCAGAGCGAGCATGGGTGGATACGATGTAAGTGATCACAGCCATTTTCGACGCAGTTCGGCTTGGTGGGGCATTCTCTGTTTCCCATCGATCACTGCCAATGCCTCCTGTAAATACCTGTGAATCATGTGAAGCTATGAAATAGCACGAGCTTCTTTTACAGTTGACAGTAGTCTACAGGTCTAACCAGGGTGAACCTGTAAGTTGAAACGAACGTGTGATAGAAACTGGCGAACGAGGAAAGTGCCCTCTCTGATTGTATGGTTGGATGGGTAAGGGGAGACAAGCAGTCACTATGCTTTTTTCATTGTTGCTACAGTACTTCTAAGGTGGTAATGACAGGAATCTGCCCACAAGGAACCGTGTAATGTGGGCCTGACTCCACCCACTTTCGAGATGGTTGTATGAGTATGAACTGATTGGGGGGGGGGGGGGGGGGGGAGAACAGCCAACTGAACTCGAACTGAAACCGTACCTTATGTTCGAGTTTGAGGCGTTTTAGAGTGCGGCTTCCTAAATTGCTTGTGTTTATTTCAGTATGAAGAGTTTGCATGCGCCAATTATGAGGTGCTGACAAAGACCTTGTTTGTGTTGTACATGTTTGTGATGCCGATTATGATGATCAACATTCTTATCGCCATGATGGGTAACACATACACCACTGTAATCGCTCAAGCCGAGAAAGCCTGGCGACAGCAGGTATGTTTCACCCATTATTACCAGTTCATGCGCTTCCTTGTTCAGCAGGAAAAGACGAACAGACAGCTTTTTATTGCGGTTGCTGACACATGAATGAGGTTGGGGTCACGCCTACGCTTTTAGAGGCAGCGCCCGCATTCATTTGATGTTCCTACATGTTCCTACTCCCTCCTTAGATATCGTAGCTTTGTCGACAAGGGTGGAGGATGTACTAATTTCGCAGCTCAAAAATACGAGAGGATGGCGCCACCCGCTTGTGAAGAGATGCCGCCCCGCCCACCTGGCTGCCATAACTGCTTTGGCTTAGCCTTTAAGGCTGAGCCAAAGCAGTTATGGCAGCCAGGTGAGCGGGGCGGCATCTTTTCCTAAGCGGGTGGCGCCATCCTCTCGTATTTTTGAGCTGCGAATTTAGTACATCCTCCACCCTTCTCGACAAAGCTACGATATCTAAGGAGGGAGTAGGAACATGCAGGAACATCAAATGAATGCGGGCGCTGCCTCTAAAAGCATAGGCGTGACCCCAACCTCATTCAATTGTCAGCAACCGCGATAAAAAGCTGTCTGTTCGTCTTTTCCTGCTGAACAAGGAAGCGCATAAACTGGTAATAATGGATGAAACATACCTGCTGTCGCCAGGCTTTCTCGGCTTGAGCGATTA